CCAAGCAGTGTGACACGCCACCTCGAGAAACACCAGTTTGTGTAGTATTATGGACTGTTTTCTAGCCAGGAAGAGTCATAGCAGTGCCACAGGCTGGTGGGGACGAGAGGACCAGAACAGGTTGGGTACCATGGAGGAACAAAAGATCGCAATGGCAAACCAGCCCAAAGCTTCTGGTTCCTTATTTCTACCTGGTAGAGAGGGTGGCTTGCCAGAAATGAATGCCATCACTAGACCAGCTGGGAGGGGGGGAAGATAAGCTTTTTTTTTTCTTTCTTCTTTTCTTTTTTTCTCTTTCTTCTTTTCTTTTTTTCCCCTCTAGATCAGAACCTGCACTTTCTTCTGATACTTCAGAAGTTCTCACGTAGATGTGAAATTCCAGTTCATCTCCTTTTAATAGCTTTTGTTGCCATGATCAGCCAAGCTAAGAGCTCCGTTCCCTGCTGGGCAAGGCAAAGCAGCACACTGAGACGACTTCGTTTCCCTGCCGAAGCCCTGTTCCTCTCACCAGCCCTTCACTGCAGAGGAAGAGGTTGAGGTTTCTCTTTCGCTTTTCTTGTTTGTGTAATGCTGGGCAGAGGAGCCTCAAGCTTTAAGGAAGGCTGGTCCTGTTCCATAAATCCAGATGGATGAAATGCAAGGAAGCTAAAATGCGTGAATCAGCGTATGAGGTCTTGGAGACCTGGGGTTCATGGCCCTGCTGATTCACAAAGGTGGTCTTCTCCTCCCTGTTCTTTCTGTATAGTCTTGCTAATCTCAGTACCAGATGTTTACACCGTGAGTTTTATTTTCTTTCTTTCTCAAACTGCAGCTTCAGCTCTCTCTTTCCTCCTTGCCTGAGCAAGCTGGCTAGACATGGTCTTCTTAGGTCTAAGGAGCTGAGCAAGCGTGAGGAGGGAAGAGGAAAGGCCCTTGGGAGAAAATGGCCTTCTTGGGACAAATCCCCTCCTGATGGTATCACGACGCTGGAGGTTTGTATCCGTGCCTGGAGCCTGCCACCAGATGAGGCTGGGAGGTGAGCCTCCCCGCCTTGCCCAGGAGTGTGGGGATGGTGAAACCAAACCCAGGTCCTGAGGACGTGCCATGCCCCGCAGTGAGCCGGGCGGCTCTTCCAGCGGGCCAAGCCTCTGCTGTGGGAAGTGAGATTTCACCCACACACAAACTCCCACCGATTCCACTACGTCCTTCCCCGAGCCCGGGAGCCCCTCCGGCAGCTCCCACCACTGAGAGCCACCGCCGCAGAGAGCTATCGGACCTCTTCACGCTCGCTTGGAAGGGGAAATAACTCACCTGTAGTTATACTGGAAAAGCTTTTGATAGATGGCATGGGGCAGGGAGAAACAGGTTGCCATCAGCCAGATAACAGAGATGCTCAGCACTCCCTTCGTTAGTGACATCCTCTGCTTCAGCGGGTTCAGGATGACCTGCAACGGAGACTTCACCGTCACTCTTACCGCACGGGAAAGCAAAGTCCCTTCACCAATGCACACAGCAGAGGCATTTTTTGGCATGATCTAATGCTGTTAAGAAAATGACAGCAGAGGCATTTTTTGGCATGATCTAATGCTATTAAGAAAATGACAGCCATGATTAGGAAAATGTCCTGCTTATTAGAGTGACCTGGAAAATGGGAAACCTTGAACTTTTCAATTCGCTCAGAAGTGCTTTCAAATAAACTTTTTCCTCTATTCTATGAGGACAATTTTCCTTAAATTGTGAGTTACATTAGGTAGGAAAAAAAGAAGGTATCTACACAAGTCTCTTCACTTGGTATGTTTGTTTATTCTATAGGAATTACATAAAGAAATGTCTCTTGTTCTAGCTGAACCTGTGAAGCTGAGCCCCCCTCCTCTCTTTTGAGGCATTAACTCACCTTTTTTGAAATTTTCTTTGTTAGATGAAAAGGTAAAGAGCTTATAAAAGCTGAGAGTCTGGAAGATACTATTTGACTGATAGTACAGGAAAGGAGAGTGATTGCCGAGATAAGCGCATGGGCTGGGCTGCCCTCTCTTTCCCGTGCTGGTAGTGCAGCGAGAGTTTGTCATGGTGGGCACCTGACACAGCCTGGCTGCAGGCAGGCGGTGGGTACAGTCTCCTCACAGCTCTGAAGTGTCCTCCCAGTGTTGCCAACAGAGATTTCCCACTCTGCCGCTCCCCTTTATACTGGTCCAGCATTAGTCCCATAGTTACACCACGGGACTTTAGTCTCAGAATTTCTCTTTACTCCGGCTGTCCTGCAACTTCATGATGCAGCAAATGCCCAACGGGAAAAGAAAAGCAAAAGAACAAACAGGCAACTGTATCAGAATTTAAGCCTAGGATGCTACAAATTGGTGTTCCATGGGTTTTGGGTGGTAAACTAAAAAGCTTGGAAAAGTTCCCTGTACAGCTGAAGTAATGCTTTGCATTCAGCCGTTGGCTCTGCTGCCTTTCAAGACCCCCCATGTAAAACAAAGCCTCTTGAATTAACTTGCCCTGCCACATTTGGGGGCTAGGCTGGACCCAGCTCTTTTCAAACCACTTGAAAAAGGTGTCTTCATGCTTTTCTACTCAAAGTCTGGGAGTGTCCTGTGAAACCTGTGATGCCGCATTTTGGTTTTTCCCTCCTGCCCTGTACCTGGGAGGCTATAGAAGTCCATCAAGCCTTCCTGCCCTTGACACACAAGGGGCATGTTTGAATTGAGCCTTCTCACTGGATATGGGTTTAATCCCTTGAACCCATGGCTCAACCGAGACTGACAGGGGCTTGGGAAGAGCCTTGCAAGGGAACAGCGGACGGGCGGCATTTTACCTGGTGCCTGTCCAGGGCGATGGCCGTCAGGGTCAGCGTGGAGACGTGGAGGGAGCAGTACTGCACGAAGCGGCTGATGTGGCACATGGCCTTTCCAAAGATCCATGTGCTGTGCACAAACCGAACCTGAGGGGAAAACAGCGGGTCATCAGCCAGCAAACGTACTGAAAATAAATCCACAGGAAACCCTTTGGATTGCTCCTGAGCTGGCACATGGGTTTTGGCTGGCTGGCTGCGCAGCTGCGCCTGAAACCCAAAGAAAGATTAGCTATGTTGGATTTTGAAACAACTCTATGTAAGAGTTTATAAGGTCAAAACGCACAGATTAAATGAGTGGTGCTGTCACAGCCCTCCTGGCCCATTCATATAAACACCATTTGTGAATAGCAGTAATGACTTTGTGATTATACTAACAACTATATTTGGAAAAAGTGGACCGAGTTTTGGTCACACAAACCCCCCTTCAGGTCTGGACAGCTTTCACTGAAGACTTCACCCAACTGGCAGCTCTGAAAAGCTTGACTACTTTCTTCCAGTCCCCTGAGTATGACTGGCATTCAAGTTGTTTTGACCCACTAAGTTTTAAGTGTGACTCTCTAGTGCTCTCCTGCGTGTACATTAAAAGTACACGTTCATCCAGGCACTTATTCTGCATTCCCCAAGAAGCTCTTGCTGTGGTTTGGTGGCATACTTGGAGAGACTTGGCAGTCTTTTAGGAGATAGAGTCTAACGGAGCAAAGGGAGCACACAGGTTGCTGAGCAGTGTTTTACTTGCCTGGCAGAGTTGTCTATTAGACTTGATTGTGTTGGGATCACGCCTCAGTCCTAGAAGAGCATGCACAGAGAGGGTGTGACCACCAGGCAGAGCAGTCTTGTGAGAGACTCCTCTCCTGGCTGAAGGGACAGCACGCTGGGCCACTTACCAGGGTAAACGGCGTGTTGAGCAGCGTGATCATAATGTCAGACACTGCCAGGTTGACGATGAAAAGGCTGGTGGCTGAGTGCATCCTCTTGTTCTTCAGCACCACGTGGCACACCAGCATGTTCCCAAAGAGAGACATGATGATAATGACCGAGTACGCCACGATTAGAAGAGCTTTCACTACTGGTTTCTGGGATTCTGGCTCGTATTTAGCCAGCTCAGCAAATTTCTCCCACTCAACAATGCGGCTGTCTGTCCAGTTGAAGGTGGTCCTGTTGGTTGCTTGGTAGATTGACAAGAGTTTGGCCAAGGAAGAGTAGTGGTCAAACTCTTCAAGAAACCCCACCATCTGTGACCTGTAAGACTGAAGCAGCAAGCGAGGCATGGTGGGTTAACCTGCGTCTTCACTCAGCTCGAGGCCGCTGGGATGACAGCTCCAGGTGACACAGCAAGTGATCCATCAGCCTCAACTGCTTGGTTCTCCAGGAAGCTGGCGAAGATGCAGCTGCCCTTACAAACTTCAACTGCTTTGTTCTCCAGGAAGCTGGCGAAGATGCAGCTGCCCTTACAAACACCACCTTAAAACGGAAAGCTGGAGGGAGCCTCTAAAGTGCGATGGGTTCCCCAGGGGCAGAGGCAGCACTGGAGAGCAGTTCCAACAGGCACGCTGGGAAGGGGCTGGTTTGGGACGACACGCTCTCAACCCCTTCATATATCAAGAAGGGCAATAGCTCCACAGGCAGGCTATAAAGAAGAACTAGTTATTACATGTAGCAAATGCAGGAAAACCTCAGGTGGGTTTTGAAGTTGTTTTAATCCCACGTCAGCTTTTTCTTCTTTGTTCTCACCTGAGTCCATTTTTCCTCCGAGTTCCACAGAAGGCTGCACTGTTGGTGCTTTCATCCTCTACTTCAAAACACCCAGCTCTTTTCTGTTGAAATGTAAAGGCAGAGCCATTTGGGGGATCATTTTCAAGAGCAGAGGTAGCTTTTGTCTGCATCTAGCCCCAGTAATTATCACAAAGCGATTCAGAACCTGGAAATCACATCAGAAGTTGACTTTAGTCTATCTCATATTTTCTCCTCCAGACAACAACTGAATTCTGCTTCCAGTGTTTCAGTTTCAGCAAGAAAAGTCTTTCCTGTAAAAGGCGAGACTTAGCAGTAGAGGCATGCAACTCACGGAGCAGCCACTCGCACTGTATACAAACCAACCAACACGCAGCACTAGATACACAAGAACAATTCCCTAGGCACAGAAATATCTGCTTCCTCACCTTTTTCTCACCTCAATATCCATTTTTAGATATTTCTGGTGATTTTAGATCGCACTGATCTACCGATGTTAGGTGGAGCCTATTAACTATGCATATCGGTATTTACAGATATGCTACATATGGGAGGGGAAAGTCGTTTAGAAGCTCTGCTGGGTTCTCCGAGAGGGTGTCTGGTTTGTTTGGTACATGCCATTCCCGTCAAGCCCCGTGGCTGTGTGCACAAATCAATGGACCTCACACAGCGTCAGGGATTAATAAGCAGAGCTTTCAGAGCGCTAAAAGGCTCCCCGATACCTTCCCACCCAGCAGACTGGCAGGCTACCCAGGGCAGCCAGCTCGCTGCAGGCAGGTGGTGGCCTGAAGCAGACATCCAGCAGACCCCAAACCAACACACCTCTGGGTCACGGCGGTGGCCTCGGCTGCAAACGCCACCAAGCAAGAGTCGGGATCAACTGTTTTCTGTTGGAAATAAGGTGCAGGGGACTGCGAGTGTGTGTTTGTACCTCTGCTTTCCCATAATACAACCTGCTTTGGCTTGTCTGCTTACTCTGGGGATGTCGGGAATACCGGAGGACCTACGAGAGGATGCCTCTCAAAAGCAAGTGGATGTTAGAGCAACTTGGTGGGGTGGAAGGAGGGAGGAATCAGCCAGGAGACAGAGAAGAACAGCTCTTGAAAGGAGGCTATGGCTGTTTCCTGGACAAGTTTGTGAGTGACAGAAGCCTGGGTAGGACAGAGAGCATGACAAATTGCTAGAGCAAAGCAGCTGTAACGAAGCAGGCATGTCAGCTCCTTGTCAGCTCCCAGTGCGGGTGGTATTGGGAGCATCAGGACCAGCCCTAGACCAGGTCCCAGTCTGACTCTCTCACAAGACACGAACCTGGGGAGCTGCCACAAAACTGGGAGCAGAGGTGAAACCAGGGAAAGGGATCGTTCACCTTGTTTGAAAAGGATGGTTGGCACGCGGGACCGAGTACAGCAAAACATCTCCGAGACTGGGAGCTTGGCACGAGTCAGAAAGGACTTAATGCTTGCACAGGAAATGAGAGAATCCAGAACTCCATCCCTCTGGGCTTCTGGGGCGGGAGGGCAGACGGGCACTGAGGGCCTTAAGAGACCTGCGAAGTTTATCCCACTCCTGGTAAGGCACGCAGGGCTCCACACCTCTTTATTGTCCACTGTGCTATACACTGAGGATGTCATTTTTACGGTGCACAGCAGCTCTCAGTGGGAGCTGCACTGAGCTGTAAGGGTAATGCAGCATGTATGCAACAAAGAAACCAGATTTTAGTCAGCTCCAGCTGAACCACTTTGATCTTTGAATAAACACAGCTGGGATATTCATGCTACACTGAAATGCCATCACTGAGCTCGAGAGAGGATGCTGTGGATGATGAAACACCTATTGCCCTCCCTGCATCAATTTACATTAGGTTCTCACGTGGAAACTTGTCTTTGCTGCCTTGAGATGAGGCCGAGTTTCAAGAAACTGCTCTAATGCATGGGTCAAATCAGATTTGCAGCCCATATGCTTCAGACTGGTGGATAGCAAGAAGAAACTTTGTACAGAATATTCAATTTCAAAAAGCCAAACAGATTTTCGGAAGTCCCCGTGTGTTTAAGAAGCCCATTTCTCAAGGACTGCCTGTAGGACCCGCACTCGTGAGCAGCTCACGGTGACCAGGGAACCGTGGCCTTCAACGTGGATGACCAGTGGGGACATCTCTCTTCTTCTTCCTTACTGCATACAGCCATTTCTCTTGTGCCTATGTCCAGGTCCCTGTACAATCAAATCAAAAAGCTGATCCATCTGTAAATTAAATAAACAGTGTTTTCCGCTGGATCTGTTTCCTGACCTGACCCACTGCATGGCCAAACCTTGTTCTTTCCAGGGAAGGCTCTAAGGAACAAACCACAGAATCATAGAGTTCCTCGAGTTGGTAGGAGCCCATAAGAATCATTGAGTCCAACTCCCTGCTCCTCACAGGACCACCTAACGCTAAACCATATGACTGAGAGCGTCACCACAAGACTAGGAGCGTTGTCCAGACGCGCCTTGAACTCTGACAGGCTTGGTGCCGTGACCACTTCCCTGGGGAGCCCAAGGGGAATGGACAAGCTTAAGGTGATGGAGCTGTAACCTGATTTTCTAACACAGAATTTCTCCTTGGATCTTTCTGTATCCAGTAAAACATGACTTTCAGTAAGAGTTGACGCTCTCAGCATCGGCTGCTGCCTCAGACAAGACCACAGGTGCGGCAGAGAGGACCTGCTGCCTGAGAAAGGCTGTGTTTAAATGCAGGTTATGCTGATGAGTTGAAATACTATGGTTTCACGCAATAAGAGGGTTTAGCTTTCAGCTTTTATAATCTGACATAACTCAAAGGGGCAGAGCGGAAGAGCCTACGGCAGGACAACTTTTCCCAGCTCTTCTAGCATCTGGCTC